GCATAATTAGGAATTTAGGATCTGCTGACTTTCAAGTCCGTAAATAATCCTCGTGACCTTTTAGAGTAGAGCCAGGGGTATAAACAATAACACAAGTAATATTTCTCTATTCGAGATACAGTTCCAATTGCTTGAGGTAAAAAGATGCAACAAGTAACAATGCGGTTTTAACGAAAAACATCAAAAGTATTTGCATACATGTAAATTGAAAATACGATGTACAAGTACCGAAACCACATAAGTTGACTACGATGTTGTAACATTGCCTTATGTGCCGAGAAGATAGAGCAAAACGGAGAATAAAATGTTAAGCTAGGCGAATGTAAACACGTAAGAGGGAAGGCGATAGGAAGACAGTACTTTATAAACGCAAAGTGACTGCGAAGCATGATGGCTTCAAAACGCTCTTCTACAGAGCACAGTTTATATACGGCCTTATAAATCTGTCTGTGATTACTGTGGCCACTCACACCATACGAATCGAATGTCACCAATAATTCGGAGTGCCACTCTTTGGCGGTGGAACTAATGTACTTGGTGGTTTTATGCAGAGGCCAGGTAACAGAAGGATCATCCGGAAGTAGTGGGTCGTTGACCACTTTTACTCTATTTATTCCCAGAACCCGAACTGACTTTTGTAATTCTTCCACTCGCTGTTCTCCAGAACCATAATAGTCGCCGCGGGAAAGACATAACAGATCCACTTCAATATTCATAGATTTCATCGACATCAGGAAGGGAGAGAAAAACATACACTCATCGTCTGGATGTGCTGTAATAAGGAGAATAGGCCCAGTTGTGCAACACTTTTTTGGCATTATACTTTTATAACAAAAACGCAGAATAATACCCAAAAATATGCATGCGGAGACGAAAAGAGTCAGCCAATGTATCGGAATCGTTCTGTAAAGATTTGCAAATTCCATTCCGCGTTTTCCGTCCCAATATCAGCCTTTAAGAATACAATTTGTACATTAAATGGTCTTCTATCAATCTTTCCGTGTTTGTCTCGAAATGTGATTCCTCACTTTCTATTTTGTCTTTTCGCTAAATTTCAGTTCAGTAAAACATAAATATTAATTTTCTTGGTTATCATACATCTCTACTTATAACTGTTTTATAGAGTTTGTGGTCTGTATCTTACTCAAACTGAAGACGTGGAAACTTCTAACACTTTATCTGTCCACTGTCCTCTGCTCCGGTTTTAATGCTGCCCACTCCGGTGCAAGCTACCTTGTCCGCTCAGTTTTGATTTACGTCGAGATAATGATGAAATAACGTTATTTTTCTTCAGCTGTCTGTTCTTCCTGAACTCCCTACTCTTATTCAATTCTGATTAATTTCAAACCGCAATTTAAGACTGAGTTTCGTAACTTTTGCCTTTACTACTTTCCGACTCGCTTGTCTTAACTTCATTTCGCGTATTTCTTATCTATTCATTAACCAGCGAAAATATCCATTTGCTTTTGTTTACTGACAATAATACATCTTACCTCAATTTTTTGGTCAGCTGATAAAACCAACTGCGATATTGCGTGACCAGTTGTCAATGGCTTAATTTGTATACAGATTTCCAACTACAGCGTTTTTGAGAGCAGTAGGCTCGTGTCTTAGTGTCCACAAACTGTCTCATCTACAACTCTTGTAGATGGCCACTCTGATCGAGTTACGGGAGCAACTCACTATTTTATATATTTGGAGTCGATCCAGTTCGCAATAGGATAGGAACAACAAATTTACGCAGAGTTCTACAAATAAAACGCCAGGGAAAGGGATTCATCGTAGGGCCGCCCAATGGCAAAATTCCCCTGGCCCAACTATATAAAGGACTTAAAAGTTTAACGTGTAATGCTTGACCAATGAATAGTTAATGCGTATTTCACGGGGGATAAGTGCGTAGTAGGAACTACATTAATACCGCTTGTGATGGTGTAGTTCCCTTGTACCTTTCATTTTTAGGTGGTAAGTTTTTGTTTAAATTTACAATTTTTCGCTTGACACACATTTCGAAGTACACATCTTTGTTCTCACAAACACTCACTTGGCATGTTCTGGCAGTTTCAAGATATCTCTTGCATTTTGTGCACTGCATCTTCTCACCAATCGTTCTTCTCCCCGCCCGTTCAACGACACCTACTGTAGTGATCAACCCTGGGCTCAGGATCAACTGACGGTGATTGGAATGCAAACTTTCTGCAGCGCTTCCAGCTCCTAACGGTTAAACCTGGTTTCCAACTCCAATCGACGGCGCCGAAGATATGCTTTACAAATTAACATTATTATCAATCTCCCTTGCAAGTCTTGGTTACTGCCACGGAGAATCAGTTGGAACCACTGAGTCGTATCGTCTTCATTCATGCCATTGTTAATCCATTTTTAACCTTTTTCCATCATCGTAGTGTAGTAGTTTAGTTACAACTAGTTATAACTACGTTTCGAAGTTTTGTGTTACATAGTTTTCTAATACGTTTTATACGTTTTGTAGGCCTTAGCCACTATAATGATTTCTCTGATCTAAAAACATCGGTGAAAATTTTGCAGAAAGGACAAAATACTGAAAAGAAAGCCTTTAAATCAATAAAAGTAACATAATAAAAGCAGTGTTCGGATAGCAGAAATTCGACCTACTTAAAATTGACTGGTTTTTTATAATAGCAGTAACTGCCCTCAGGCGGTCCATTATAAGTCCCTACCGACCAGGGAGACTGGAGTGGCGTGGTCTGTGTTATAAATTCGGCACACTTCAGAATAGTAGAGATTGCCTTTGAAGACCCTATAACGAGTAGTACACAAAATATTGAAATGAAAATGGGAGCATCACATTCTCATGAACAAATTCTTTTTGTAGCTTGTTATTTAAGCACAGTCATTCTGAAGGAAATGTGAAAACGTATACCAAATAACAGGCGATAGTGTGAGCAAAACGTTGGAATGTTTTAACAGTGTGTTCCTATCTAGATGAACGATGTATTGCACATAAATATACATTCCATTTATGGTTAAATGCGTCTGTCATGTTGCCCATTATAACTTTCCCGGAAAGTCCGCTCGGAGCACCAAAACCCGCTGTTAAAAGGAGTGACGACGAAAATCGAGGTAGGATGAAGATCGTAACTTTAAGTTTGAGGGAATTCCCACGCAGGTTAGTTGATATGATGAAAACGCAAAAATCATCAAACTGCAGGTTACGGACCCGATTCTTCTCGAGCCGGTACGTCTGTAAGAGACCCCTTAGATCTGCCTGTGATCAAAAGGGAAAATGGTTGAACGCTTCAACTTCGCATTTTTATGACAAGGATTTCAGACCCCTCATGAATCTTTCGAATTTTTTCCAGTAGCTTGCAGTCGTTTTGCAGTAAGAGACGTCAGACCTGACCTCCACACTACAGATGTGAATAGAGGTCCCGTATACTTTTCCAAATACTTCTCTATCGATATATACGAAAGTTCTCTTTATGGAAAAGTGAACACTTATCTCCCATTTGACAGCCCTGGCTCATTGAGAAAAGGGCTTCAGAGATGAAATATTCTGATTCCTAGGTCCTTTTGTTTGTTTACATGCAACAGGCACCTTTGTAGCGACCCAAACTGATCCGTATGCGTTTTTGGGCTAATTAATTTGGTTTTTTTAGAATCTCACGCGTGGGCCTGGACGCTACCATCAGTTCCCATAAGTCCAACTCCGTTTTGCTTTCTGGAACCCTTAGACATCATTATCATTTTGATTCTGCTATATTAATTTTTTCGTATCGTTACGTTTTGTACCCCAGATTTTCTCCTTTATTTTAATGCTATTCCTAGCCCGGTATTTTTCCTTACGATTGTTACAAATATTTTACTAGTCTCGACATTTTCCCCGCTCCTGCAGTATTTTATGAGAGACATCGTTGTTACACATTATTTCCTAGAATATCCCATATCGTCCTTCGTTACGCATTTCCGATAGATACGTTTATTAGTTCTATCAATAAACCTCTTTTCCTGTCATTACTATAACTTTTATCGCGACCAATCGGAAAGTCATGTCTGATGAATTTGATGGATTAGGATTTGCTCGACTGCTAGATGAAGCTTGGGAATCTGCCCCTTTATTTCTGAGCACGCCACAACCAGACAATCTCGGGTCTGAGGTTTATTCATTAAACCCGTTCTTCCCAGCAAGACCTGTACAATCTAATCCATTCTTGGCCTCATACCGTCCTACTGCGATACCCTCGGCTCGAGTAGTCAATCCACGTGAGGACTGTTCATTGAATTTCCCGCCCCCACGCTGTTCGGCAGCTACACCTTCCATCAAGGAAGTATTGCTGAGAGTACCCCATCACGCTCGCCTTCCTCACTTTGTCTCGCAGTGTGACACCTTTCCAAAGTTATACTACACCAACCATT